CATTAAATTTTACATTTCAAGTTTCTGGCATGTGTAGTTAGACTTTTTGTCCAAAATTTCTTATTTAAGACGCGACTTAAATAAGAACAGCTAAAAGACCTGTTCTTATGTAAGATGCGTCTTATCCAAGACGCGTCTTACATAAGAATTTTGTACCTTTTATACGACAAACTCGCGTCTTACCTAAGTCGCGTCTTATGTAAGTCGCGTCTTATTTTGTTCCGTATAAATGGCCCTATTGTACAATGCCTTGATTTTGCCTGTTCTACATTATGCAGATATAGTGTGGGGTGATAAGAACAATACTGTACGTTGCAGATTGTTCAGAACAAAGCCGCTAAAGCAATCCTTGATGTTCCTTATGATTCTTCTTCGACGGAAGCCTTACAAACCTTGGGGTGGATAAAACTGAATCAAAGATGCAAGTTCCATAGATGTGTTGCAGTTTATAAACTTATGAACAATTTAATTGATTTAGATTCTAAATTTTTACTGAACAAAGATGTTCATACATATAATACTAGATGCAAATCTGATGTACATTTAGATAAAGTTAAGAGGAATTGGGGAAAACAACGTTTTTGCTACCATTCCTTAAATGATTGAAATTCTTTACCATTAGAATTATGAAATTTGGAAACATTAGCTAATTTTAAAGCTACTCTAAAAAAAACTTTATAATTATCCTAGTTTATCTTATTGCATCTAATTTTTTCCTATGTAGTGTGCTTAACTATACAGTGTTTATAAAAAAAACTGAACCCTTTCAAATTCAAATTAGCTATAACGTATTGTAGTAATTTGACAGCTCTAATTGCTTTAAATTAATGCTTGGATAAGAACACTAGGTCCTATACTCACGGGACAAAACTCAAAGAAATAAAATTTAAAAATTCAGAAGAAATATGTTAAAATTAAGAGATATGTTAAAATTCAGACGTGCAGAAATGACAAAATGGGTCAGTTCACTGCAGAGCAGTGAACATTTATGGTGTTACATTACAACCGTACCCAAAGTTTAGTAGCAGTACAGAATGCATTTTGACAAAGATTTCCTGGTCGGAATCCTCCAAGTAAAAACACTATCCTGCAAAACTTTAGGAAGTATTCCAAGTACGGAACAAGCCTGAACCGTAACAAAAATAATTCTGGCCGACCAAGAACCGCGTGTTCCCAACAAAATATTGCAGCTGTAAGGGGTCTACTCGAACAAAATCCACGGAATGTGAGTGCTCGTTGCAATCCATTACAAGTTTCTTCTACAGCTTTTAATCGCATTACAAGGCTTGATTTGGGATGGCATCCATACTGAACATAGATGGATTTTCATATTTTTTACTGGGGTGGTGCCAGAAATTTTAGGGGGGTGAGCCGTGAGCAGGTGACTGAAGCAACACAAAGTATCACCAAACCCCAGTAAGGTCTATATTGTAAGGGTGGAGCACTAGAGACGTGAGGGGGAGTCTATAGAGCAGAAAACAAAGTTCCCTGGAAAAATTTGAAAAAAATCATGATTTCTAGCTTCAAAAAAAAGTTTTTGAAGTTGTCATATCAATGGATTTGGCATGTCCGGTTGCCTGTTGAGACTTGAGAGAGTTAAAGTTAAATGAACCTGTAAATATGTTTTCATGTGTTCGAAATTTTATCAATGGAATATTTTAATCAGCATTCAATACGTATGTATGATAGGAGGAACTAGGTGAAACTTTTGGAAATTTTGGTGCTTCTGTATATAACTGCCCTAACAGTGCCATTGAATTAAAATATTATTAGGCGGGGCTATTACATGACATTCACTTGCTGTCATTTTTATACTTTAAATTGTGCGACTTATAATCCTGTTTTATTTACTAAAAGGCTAACACGTAGCCAAGGTCCATTCATGTGAGTGCTTACACATTACTATTTCACTGTATATAAATGTAGAACGAAATTATAACCTTCCCTAAGCCCTTCAAATATACATATAATAGAATATACAATATTTAGGCTGCCCAACTTACGTTGCCCAAGTTGACATTACACACATATACATTTTTCAAACAGCTTGTTACACTGATTACTGTGTGACATTGACATATATATATATATATAATATATATTATAACATATCATATTTACATAAATATGTCAGGAAAATATCAATAACTCAATATAGTTAAAGAAATGAAAAAAATATACAATTGTAAATATATACAATTGTGAATGTTTGCATGTCCAAACTTTATAAAAAATTCTCTTAAATCACGACCCATAGCCTATACTCAATACCTACTACCTATATGTGCCCACAAAATAAAAAAAATGTTCAAGAGCCTTGAATGGCAGAAAAATATCGAGCAGCATTGGGAGGTTTAAAAAGTTATTGGGCTCAATGAAAATCCACCTCATCAAATTGTCCGCCCCTAATGCATATTATTATATGGCTTTTCAAAATTCTCTATTCTGATTGGTTGACAAGCGCTCCATAAAAACCCATATCCGGACCGTGGTCCGTATTTTCCGTATGTGGACCGGTGTCCCGGATGTCGTTTATCTGGCGGGAAATTTTTGCTTTGCAAACAGAAAAAATTTTTACTTTTCCAAATTTCCAATCGTGCTTTACAGATAAAAATTTCAAATAACCAAATTGTTTTTGATTGAGCATGCATGCCTACGGTATATATTGTTACCCAGTGAAACTGACGATAGCCGATTTAATTCACGCAAAAAGCATATGCTCACAGACTCAGTTCAGCCATATAATAAACTGATTATTGACCTCGCTTGTTTGGTCTGTACTGTGATCCATACCATACCATACTACATACCATACAAAACTGTACTACATACCATAAAAAACCTCGGTCTGATATTTCACACCTCACGCTCGGTCAATAACCCTTTAATATTTCTAAAATTCATATATAGTATAGTCGTCGCATGCAAATCGGCCATTTCTTCGTGTGAACCTCTTAGGTTTATAATTAAAACGGGGATTATTTTCATTAAAAAACAACAAGTCAGCACTATTTAAAGTACGAAAATGTCAGCAAGTGAAAATGTCATTTAACTCTGCCTAACAGAAGCTCCAAAACTAAGGAGCTTCTTTCCAATATTTCCAAACGTTTCCCGAGAAAGGCGCCGTATAGCCATCATACATACGTAATGAATCATTTGAATGCTGATTAAAAAATTCCATTGCTAAAAATTCGAACAGGTAAAAACATATTCATTTCACAGATCTAAGGCTGGTATACTTTAATTTAGGGTATTATAATCTAAGGCTGGTATACTTTAATTTAGGGTATTATAATTAGTTGCGGTAGCAATCATGCGTTTATAAAATGCTCCGCGGTCCGCCGTCTGCCATCCGCCCGCCTTTTATCTACACCCCAAGTAAACTGAAGTACAGGCCCTAATTTAGGGCCTGAATTTCAGGTTACATGACAAGGCACTGCAAACTCTATTCAGGGGAGATAATAGAGTTTCAAAACTTTACAATTGCTCCAATAAGCCAGTGAATGCAAGCGAGGAGCGATTAGTTTCAGAGTATTGCTATTTTTCTATTTGAGTGTACTCCTACGTTTATTTTGTATCATCAACACTCTGCACGTTGGAGTGGACTATTTAATTATTTTTTATTATGCCGAATATGGGGGGGGGGTTGAAATTGTTTTTGGAGGGGTGCACATTTTGTTTGGGGGGGTTATAACTAGTATTGGGGGGGTAGCACCCCCTGCACACCCCCCACAAAATCCGTCTATGATACTGAATGCACATGAGACGTGAGTTGCTGCCAAACGACTATCTGCGGCGACTTCGATTTTCTCAGTGGTTCAACCAGAAATGCGAAGACCCTCATTTTTTGGATCATGTGGTAATTGGAGACGAGGCATCTTTCGTAATAGATGGAGAAGTAAACTCGCACAATGTTCGACGGTACGCACCTAAAGCACATCCTCCAGAGTTCAATTTCAACAGAAGTGATCCTCGAGCGAAGCTTACTGTTTGGGCAGGACTCTGCGGGAATGGTGTCATTTTAGGTCCGTACTTTTTTTAGGGAAATGTGGACGGTGTTGCAAACTTCCAGATGTTGCATGAATATGTCTTGCCACTCCTTGCTGTGCATTTCAGGGACCAATTTGAGAATGGATTGTTTTGTGACCTTTGGTGGGCTCAGGATGGCACCCCTGCCCATAGACTTCTTGAAGTGAGGGATAGGCTGAATAGAGTATTCGGAAATGACTGTGTGATCGGGTTGGGTCACAACGTGGAATGGCCTCCCAGATCGCCAAATTTAACACCTTGTGACTTTTTTTGTGGGGCTATCTCAAGGGGAAAGTATTTTCCAGCCCACCTCATGATGTGAATATTCTACGCCAGAGAATCATCGCGGAATTTAATGCTTTGCAGAATAACCCTAACTTTATTACTAATGCAGTGCGCCATATGCAAAAGAGAACAACACTTTGTGTTCAGAGAAATGAAGGACACGTTGAAGGACACAGCGCTTGAATCCCAGTAAAAGTCATAACTTGTTTCATATTAATTTGACGGGGGATTAGCCCAGTCAAATTACTACAATACATTATAGCTAAATTGAATTTGAAAGGTTCAGGTTTTTTTTATACACCCTGTAGTTCAACTTATTGTGGACCTGACTCTATCCCATCCTGGTTGCTAAAAGAATATGCCCAAGACATTTCACCCATGTTAACTAATATTTATCAATGCTCCATAGACACAGGAATCGTGCCTTCTAAGTGGAAAAATGCAAATATATGTGGGATCTTCAAAACAGGGAAAAAATCAGATCCGGTTAATTATAGACCTATTTCTCTGACTTGCCTCTAAGATATTGGAACATATAATTCACAGTCATGTTATGAAACACTTGCAACAAAACAACGTGCTAACGGACTGTCAACATGGATTTAGGGCAAAAAGATCAACCGAAACCCAACTTATTGTAACCATACATGATCTGGCGAATACAATTCAACGTGGTGAGTCAACACATGTTGCAGTCTTGGACTTTTCGAAAGCTTTTGACAAGGTACCCCATCAACGACTTGAGGAAACTGTATTATTATGGAATTTCTGGAGAGTTACTTGATTGGTTCGAGTCTTTTCTTTCACAACGTTATCAGTCTGTTGTCTGTGAAGGCAAAACATCTACCCCCCTACTTGTGACGTCAGGAGTTCCCCAAGGGACAGTGCTTGGCCCGCTCCTATTTTTATTGTACATTAATGACTTGTCGGACAACTTGCAGTCAACTGTGAAACTTTTTGCTGATGATGCCTTATTATATGGTGTCATTACGAGTGATTCAGATTGTGACCGCCTACAGGATGATCTACATAAGCTAGAACAGTGGCAAAATCTATGGCAGATGGAATTCAACCCCTCAAAATGCAAAATCTTATGCATTTCCAATAAAAAGCATCCTCCCCAAAAGCGGTATTTGTTTTGTGGAGTAGAGCTAGATCAAGTGGAAGAAATATCTTACTTGGGCATTACTTTCACTAGTAAATTAAAATGGAATCACCATGTCTCTTCGGTGGCAAGTAAAGCAACGAAAGTTCTTGGTGTGATGCGACGTAATCTGTGGAATTGCCCCACGAAAGTGAGAGAAACAACATACAAATCCATTGTACGACCCAAGCTAGAATATGCATCAACAGCCTGGGATCCTTACACTAACAAGGAGAAAGTGGCTTTGGAAAGAGTGCAGAGAAAAGCAGCGTGTTTCTGTTCCAAGAACTACAATCCTATGTAAAGTGTCACTGATATGATTGAAGATCTAAATTGCGAAAGTTTAGAAGTTAGAAGAAAGAAAGCTAGATTGACATTGTTGTACAAACTCTCTCGGAATCTTGTAGACGTTGAAACAAATAATTACTTGCTGGTAAATAATGAGACCAGGACTCGTGGCAGTCATAGCTATAAATATAGAGTCCCAAAAACTACCAAAGATGTTTTTAAATTTTCCTTTTTTCCTCGCATGATTAGGGAATGGAATTTACTTCCCGAAGAAATTGTGAGCTCAGAGAACCTCCTCTAGTTTAGAAACAATTTAAGCAATTCTTTTTAATAACAGTAAATATTGTTGTAAATATAGATTTTTAGAATAGGTATAGTTATAAATAGTTGGTGTGATATTCGAAAGGATTTTACCGACTTAACAAATATAGATGTAGATGTATTGCATGTAATTTCTATTTGTTAATAGATTCTATATATTGTAATTTTATCTTCTAAAAACATATTGTAATATATTTATACGTAGGGCCCAATTGAAAAACTCCTTGGAGATATGGGCTCCCTGCTTAAATATTATAATAAAAAAAAGTCCTGAAATTTGGCATATCCTAGATCTTTCAAACAAAGCAATGCTTGTGCAGTTGAGTTACTAAGTGTCTGGACTGAGATTCATCCTCATTTTTTGACTTGCAAATTCTAAATGGTTGCATTTTAGTTTATTAGCCAAATGTAGCCCTTCATCTTGTTGCAACTTATGTTGCATATTATGTGTCCCAGCTTATTGTGCCTCCTGTTAGCCCATTTCTGATGTTCTTGTACTGTGCAAGCATGTTCCTTAGTTTAAACATCTGGCAGTTGTCTAACAATACAAAAACTTTCTTTGGTCCATCTGCAGGATGGGGGGAAAATGATGTGATTAATGGGTATGATATATGAACCCCAAGTTCAGATAGCATGTTCTGATTGCCCCCACAACCATCACACACCAAAACACACACATCAATTGAATTGTCATGTAAGTGTGTCAATAAATTTTTTTGTTAGGTTGGCCAGAACCGCCCCAGAAAGCCCATCTGTTAAGTAATATGCAATTGGTACTTTCCAACTGCTGTTCAATGGCAGAAGAAGATAAACTAAGGCATTGCCTGTAACTGGCAGGGTGTCATCATCTATAGTTTACCCCAAATTTACAAAACCAACATATTGCCTGCCATCCCACTCAATTCGTTTTTTGATGCTCATTTCGTCTGACATCAGTGAAAGAACAAGTGGGTGTTTTGATTCCTCAATTTTTCTCTTCACAGATGCAATTGATTGTTTGTTTATCCCAGGATTCCCAACAATGTCAAAATCTCCCTAGCAACCATTTAGCAACGGCTTAATCCTTTTGAAGAAAGTTCGAAAAACTATTCCTATGTGACCCAATTTGTTTAGTGTTTGGTAGAGCAAGAATATAACCTTCGGGCTGATGTGTTCAGCTTTTTTATAAATATGCAAAAAAGCTCATATGCACCTTTTGCAAGTTTCTAAAATATACACATTTACTGTATTTATTACTGTAAAAATATACACATTGTGGGAATGGTTTAAAATAAAATAACAGCAAAAAAGTAATTGTTTTTCCCACAAAATACATTTAACTTATAGAACTGAATAACAAAGCAATGAAAACATTAAATGCATTCATTATAATATGTATAGGTAATAGCATGGTTTCTAGCACAATTTGAAGTGTTTGAAAACTCACAAGTGCATGATGTGCATGATGTGCAAACTCACAAGTGCATGATGTTCGCATGTTTGAAAACTCACAAGTGCATGATGTTCATCCAAATTTTACCAGAAACCATCGTATTACTTATTAATAATTTATATAAAAATGTTGGAGACAATCCGTCTTAACTCTTTGACGCCCCTTCCGAGCAGCGCTGTTTCGCATCACATTACGGCACAATTTTTCTAATATAAATATCTCGGCGAATATTTACCCCCCGTGTAAATAAAAGCCACCATTGTAATCCTCACAAACTATCCTTTCGAACTGGGGGGTCAAGTGCCGTCAGTACATAACACAAACCGAAACAATGATATATTTACTCACCGCTTGGCCTAAGATTCTAAATTTCATATCCATAAGATCTTGAATATCTCTGGAACTTTTTGTAATTTGCTGAACGACTGTAGGTGTAAAATACTCTTTGTATTCAAGCGCTTTCGTGTACAAAATTTCGTTTGAATACGGCGAGTAGAAATATTTATTTTAAATTTTTCAAAATGTCGGGTTTTACTCTCACCGCGTCACAGTCGCGTACATTGCGCAATAATTGGCCAATAAGAAAGCTCCTGTGGCCGGGATGACGTCAAACTCACACGTGTAGGTGCAATTTGACCTGTAGAATGCATTTCTGGCCTTTCCAAGGTCATACGATACAAACGTCCCATTGTTTTGACGGTTTTCAGTCGTATTTCCGGTTTAGATTAACTCACTTCGAGCTCACAGTTGGACAAGAAATGGAAATATATTGATAAAAGGTCCAGATTTGAAGATACAGGCAAGAAAATAACACTCTAAATAGTGTTTTTGATGGGGATTCGAACAAGACTATTACAAAGACGATATGTTCGCAGGGGCCGATGTTATTTTCGGCGAAAGGTATGGCTTGTTTATATTTTTGTTCAGACAATTGCGTAATTTGATATAATATGATCATGTTTGACTTCAAAGGCCCATAAATCGCTACAATGTTGATAATAACTAAAACTATAGTGAGGAATTAGTTGAATCTTTTATTTCTGAGTCGAATGGTGGTATTCCTATCTTCATAGCATGCACTGAACCGAAGATATGAAAACACAAAACCGTCAACCGCTAGCGGATGAATGATTTGGGGTGGGCCGCCAAAGAGTTAAACTGCCCACTACCAAAGTTTTCCTGGCTTTGTTATATCACATTATACATTGCTAACAGCTTGAAAATTCCACTCAACTATTTAAGTTTTAATAGTTTTGTTTGTGGAAACATCATGTAAATGTATTACTGCAAAGCTTTCGATCCATAAGCCCTGATGAAGATCCGGGCTTATGGATCGAAAGCTTTGCAGTAATAAATTTATGTGGTGTTTCCACAAACAAAACTATTATATGTTTTATCACCATACAAACATACAAAGAACTTATTTAAGTTTTGTTAGTCTTGTTTAAGGTAAAGGCTTTTCCATTTAAAAAAATGCATTCCCTTTTTTTACTGCATTAAGATTACAATGCCTCCCTCTGCTTATAATCATCTCTATGGACTGGACAAAGGTATAGGAGCAGGTCCTCCAGTTATACAGCTCAGTGGATGCACTCCTGGTTCCAACATGTGACATAGCATGCATTCACTGAGCTATAATAGTAGTGGATGCATCAAACTAAACACCGACAAATGTGGTGACACGAAACCGTATAAATTGAGAAGTGCAAAATTTTATAGAAATATATTTTAGGGAAAGTACATTTATTATGCCGAGGGGGGGGGGATGAAGATGTTAAGGGGGGGCTCCGAAATATTTTCTGGCATTAAAGGGGGGGCTCTTCTTGATATACTGAAGGGGGGGCTCTAAACTTTTCAAAGGTTTGACCCCAACAAATTAAAGTTAAAATTTTTACATCAGTTTCAGGTAAAATTTGCGTAATAAAGTAATTATTTTTGTGAAATGATAACCATTTTTGTAAAATACAGTCAATTTACGTGCAATTTGTTTGCGAAATTAGCTTTAGAAAATGCCAGAAATTCAGTCCTAGAGCTTCGAAAATGTAAAAATTTTCTGGGGGAGGACCCCCAGACCCCCCTTTTCTCCCAAAACTTAGTATAAGAGTGCCAATCAATCACAAAAAGCTTTATTATAATTATTACACGTATAATCCTCTGACATCCCCCCCCCCCCAAACGTCAGATGCTTTGCTACGTCCCTGATGGTTGTATTCGAAACCGATTTCAGTTTTAAGATATCCTTAGTCTGCTCTTCTAAATGGATACATGAAATCACCTATAGCTTATTTTAAATTTTTTGGCGCCAGGTTTGTGAAGTAATTTACGCGCCAAAAAGTAGCAGTTCCAAAAACAAAAAAGCATATACGATTTGCAAGAATGATATGTTCTATGTTTATGGGATATTTCGCACAAACGGGATGGAAATTAAAGAAATTGAAGCATACTGGCACTTTTGCATGCATTTTTGACAGGCATGCAAAGACATTTGCAACAGATGCCGGGAGATACGTTGGGTGGGGGCGACATACTGTAAGGTTCCAGCACATTACCCTGATCCAGGAAATCCTGGCCACTACATGAGGGTGTTCAAGACTCCGAATACGCTGAATGATGGACAACAACAACCTGTTGATAATTTCACCCCTAGAGCCAATTTAAAATGTTTTAAAGACGGTGCCATTTCATCTGGCGCTAGTGAGGTGAAAGAAGCAGCAGATCGGTAGGGCCAAAAAAAAATATGTGGGTTTCCGGTTTCTTCTTATAAAAACTTAGGTAGGGTAGGTCGGTTTTAACTTTTTTTTTTAAACTTTTTTTTATTTTTCCGAATAAGCGGACGCCATTTTGTTTAGTCAGTGCTTCCACATCCAAAGATAAATTTCCCTATAATTGCCTCAAATTTCAATTTTCCACAAACTTTTTCCTCTAAGTGGAAACACTTACAAGCATGATCCAATAAAAAAGTTTAGGGTCGGGATTTCGACGTCCAAAAGCTAGGTAGGGTTGGGAAACCGGAAACCCAAATATTTTTTTTTGGCCTAGTTTTGTTGAGGAGAAGCACATGCTTGAGTATATCAGACATCTTGAGGAACTGCAAATTGTATCTATGATAAGAGAGAATTCCGGATTGTACTCCTTCTGTTATGAATAGTAATTCTACGATAAATTTGACCTTTTCTTCGATAATATACACACAAAACATTTTATTGTACACAAAATACGAAAAACAATACACTAATAAATTACTGGCAAAAAATGTTCACGTGATACGTCACAGTGATCAAATTGTGTTCACGTGCGTTCCAAAGTTGCGTAATCCTTATAATAACAATGAATAATAACAATGAATCTTTATAACACTCCCCAACGTTGAGTCACTGTACAAGTGATCAACAATACTCCCCAATGTTGACAATAATCGATAAAATATGAATATATACATTACTGTAATTACGTTAAGTTTTTCAGATATGTTTCAGTTGTTCGGCTCTTTTAAGCTCTCCGATGACCGCCGCCATACGACGTGGACGAGCATTTAACGATACAGGCGGTTCGCTAATTGTTGCCTCCGATTTATTCTTGACCTTGCTAAGCGGTTGCTTCACTTCGATTGGAATCAGGTGACTAATCGATCTTCGGAGAAGTTGCGCTTTGTCACTCTTGCCACCTAACATTTTAACAACAGCTGCTCGAACAAGGTTATCTTCTCCATGTAAAAGTTGCTCAACCTTGGCTAGCTTCCAAAAACAGCGACTCGTTTTATCGTTCCTTAAAATAACAATGTCACCGATTGAAATATTACCCGTCTTGTTATTTCTTGCCATAACTCTAGATTGTTCACGAAGTCCCAACAAATATTCAGTTCTCCACTGCTTCGTAAATTGCTGAATTAGGTTTCGGTGGTGTCGTGCTCTTTTCGTTAACGATTGATACGTGCTAATAACTTCATAGTGTTGGCTATTCGGCATAGTGGTGATACGACGTCCATATATCAGGTGTGAAGGACACAAGGGTGACGTGCAGGTTTCGTCGTCGTCAAAAACATAAGTTAGTGGTCGCGAGTTGATCAGCCCTTTGATCTCCACCACAAGCGTACTCAGCTCTTCATACGTTAGACTTGCTCTTCCTATTACCTTCTTTAAGCGCCTCTTTATGCTTCGAACTAAACGTTCCCAGAAACCGCCCCACCAAGGGGCTTTCTCAACAATTAATTGCCACGTTATACGATTATTAGATAGGTAGCGCCAAACTTCCTCTGCTCGACTTAAATTTCGGATTTCCTTGGACGCTGATTTGTAAGTTTTGGCGTTATCGGATACCAGCAACGACGGTAGACCTCTTCGACTGGCGAACCTGCGGAAAGCTTGTAGAAATGATGAGACGCTCAGGGATGGTGTAAGTTCTAAATGTACACCCCTTGTAGAGGCGCAAGTAAATAACAGTACATAAACCTTCAAAAGGGATTCGATTGATGACTGAGCTTCCTTATCTGGTCGAACAAGTAACGGTCCTGCGAAGTCAAGTCCTACGTTAGTGAACGGTGGATCGTCTGCAACTCGATACGGTGGAAGATGGGGAGGAGGTGGAACTCCATACGGGGTACCTTCAGCCTTTCGACATACGACACATTTCTTGAGAATTCGCTTGACCACTTCTCTACCACGTAAGATCCAGAATCGTTCTTGAGTAGTCGTCAATGTGTCCCTAATACCGTTATGCTTAACTCGATGGTGCACGTCTCTAACTATTAGATCGATAATAGGATGTTTTGCAGGAAGCAGCATTGGATTTTTACTCTCTCGTGGTATATTTGCCTTGTCAATCCTTCCCTTGCATCTAAGGAGCTCTTGTTCATCGATAAACAGTCCAAACTGACGTACGCGATTCGGTATCGAACCTTGACTCTTGCTTGATAAATACTCTATTTCTGACGGGAATGAAACGTTCTGTATCGACCGAATCCAGATGTTTTCTGCAGCGTTGATCTCGGAGGCTGATAAGTCCTTCGGCTTCGTCATTTTTGTGATTTTTCGATCTCTAGTTGACTTCTTGACATTGTTGATAAACCGCAAAACGTATGCGGTCACTCGAAAAAGGCGGGTCAAGGTACAGAAATTTTCGCAATTCATACTCTTTGTAATGTCTGGTGGATTTGGGTTGGAGCCCTTTGTTACCAAAGAGTGCGTCACGGCTGGTTGTTTCTTAACTACTTCATTTAATGCAGTATCTGGTTCCTCTGACGAACATTTTGGCCATTCATCTTCGGATTTCTGAAGAAACTCAGGACCTTCCCACCACAGTTTGTTGGAGACAAGGTCGGTTGCTTTCACTCCACGAGATGGCAAATCTGCGGGATTCTCCGTACCGGGACAAAACTTCCATGAATCCTTGGAGGTCAATCGACGAATTTCTTCCACTCGATGCATTACGTACTGCTTCCACAACTTATCGTTCGCGATCCAGCATAGGACTGTCATGGAATCCGTCCAATTAATTATCTCAACTTCTTGATTGTTGCAATTGTCTTCAAATAGACACCCTTGCACTGTGGCGATTAATCTTGCTAGAATGTTTGCACCTAACAGTTCTAGGCGAGGAATCGTTTGTTCCTTTAACGGCGCCACCTTCGATTTTGAAGCTACGAGTCTTACTTCGATGTTTCCACTTTCGTATAAAGATCTCATGTAAATAACTGCGGCATATGCGATTTTGGAGGCGTCGCTAAACCCATGTAGCTGTATCTTCATCGGCTTTTCTGTAGATTTAAAATAACATCGTTGAATCCGTAAATCATTTAAGGTATTTAACTCGACTAATATTGTGTTCCACTTGGTTAGAAGTCCATGTTTGAGTTCGTCGTCCCATTCACTTCCTTCGACACACAATTCTTGAAATAATGCTTTCATCTTGATGACAAATGGTGTTAGAAATCCAACAGGATCAAAGATTTTCGAAGTAACCTTTAGCACAGAGCGTTTCGTCGCAGGCAAGGAACGAGCATATTGAACCAAACTCGAAAATTCGAACATAAACGTGTCATTCTCAGTGTCCCAAAGGACCCCAGGTACCTTGACGCATTTATCCTTTGTAACAGTGGTTTCTTGACCGATTGTTGTTTTAGTGTAGGACTCGGTTTCTTCCATTACGATTGGGGACGAGGGTTCTTTAATCACGGCTGGGGACGAGGGTACTTCGATCATGTCTGGGGACGACGGTACTTCGATCACGACTTGGGACGAGGGTACTTCGATCAGGGCTGGGGACGAGGGTACTATGGCTGGGGACGAGGGTTCTTCGATCACGACTTGGGACGAGGGTTCTTCGATCACAACTTGGGACGAGGGTACTTCGATCAGGGCTGGGGACGAGGGTACTATGGCTGGGGACAAGGGTTTGTTGTCTGAATCGATATTACTCTCTGCCTGGGTTATAGTTTCAACAACAGTATTCGAATTGGAAGCCCACTTACGTAAATTGAAACCACCAGCTAGCATGATATAATAATAATAATAATAATAATAATGGTATTTTAATAACACATCATCGCATGAAAATGAATTACAATGTGTTTTACAATTGATTTGAATGGGAATTACAATACTAAAAGTAACTATATTACAATATATCATTAGATTATTAAATAAGAACTTATAACTAAGAACAATTATTTGTTTAAAACACTAATCATGCTAGGGAAAAAACTATTACCAAATCTATCAGTTCTACATTTAAAAGAAGCGAATTGTTTAAAATTCCTTAAATTATACACATGTTCGTTCTCGCTGGTGAGAGTTAGATGGGAAGAAAGACGACTACCCCATGCAATATTTTTCATCGTCTTTTCGCAAAGTTCACCTCGACGTATATCCAGCCTAGGACACTGCAACATTTCTTGCGCTTCACCGTAGGATCAACCTGGCAGTATAATCCTCAGTGCACGTTTTTGAATTTTTTCGACTTGTTCGGACAGATACATAGGTAGGCCACAATGCCATACTGTACAACAATATTCTAATGTAGATCTAATCAATGCATAATAAATTGTGATAAGGTCGTGCGGTGGAATCCCTCCCCGTCGTAGGACACGTAGGATATGCAGTCGCTTGGATGCTTTGGTAACAATCATCGAAATATGTTCGTTCCACTTAAGGTCATCCTGGATAATCAATCCAAGAACCTTGTGCGACGATACACATTCAAAGATCTGGTCTTCAACACACAAGTGTGGTAGTTCAGGTTTGTTCCGAAAGAAACAAATTTGCATCTCTTTGCATTTCTTTGCGTTCAATTTCATCAGGTTATTAGATGCCCATGTAGCTATAGAAGTTAAATCGGACTGGATTACAGACGGTTCCCCATTCCTTAATAATCCCTCAGAGATAGTAACATCATCAACGAATTTCCAATTGCCAGACCTCCCCGAACCGCATTGTAAATCATTGACCATAATTAAGAACAGGATCGGACCCAACTTCGTACCTTGGGGGACACCGGCTGTAACAGGAAGCCAACAAGAAACAGCTTCCGCAAGTTTGACCCGCTGTCTTCGCCCTGATAGAAAGTTTACGATCCATGGTATTAACGATCGCCTAACGCCAATATCAACAAGTTTTTGGATAAGAATGTTATGGCCAATACGATCGAAGGCCTTTGAAAAATCCAAAAAGCATATGCGAAGAAAATGACCAGTTGAATCTAAATGAGAAAGCCAACAATGCAACATGTCGAGCAAGCAATAGGTCGTGGATGAACCCTTTAAAGAACCGAACTGTTGTGCGTCAATATTATTCCTAACGTCAGAGATCATCCATCTAACGACAAAATCTTCGAGAACTTTAGAAAGGCATGGCGTTAGTGAAATGGGTCTTGTGTCACCCTCGTCAGTTGGTTGTTTAACTTTTGGAATGGGGGTAATATGTGAGTCTTTCCATATATTTGGAACAATCCCGGATGCAAGTGACATATTGAAGATTTTCGCAACTGGTTCAGCGAAAAGGTGCGCAAATTCTTTGGTGCCCTTGTAAATATCTAATGCTTCATCATCACTCGGAGCCCCAGAAACTAAATCATCAACATACAGGCCATTCTTTAATACTTTGACTGCATCAGGATTCTCGTCTTCATATAAATTCAAGTGATGATTAATCGTAGCTCCCAACATAGCAGGCGATGGTCTTAATCCAAAGACTAATCTGGTAAATCGAAACTCGATGATTTCTGGAATCGGTTCCTGAATGTTCTTAACCCAAAGAAAACGTAGCATGTCTCGGTCCACATGATCTATGCCCACCATTAAGAATGCCTTTTCTATATCTGCAACCAATCCAACTGCATGGGATCTGAACTTCACGAGTATGTTGAATAAATGAGGAATATTGTTAGGACCAATATATAGGCAATCGTTGAGTGAATAGTTCCGTTCTTTGGTAGTAGCAGAACCGTCGTATACTACACGTAATTTCGTAGTGGATTTATCTTCACGCACAACAGCGTGATGTGGGAGATAATGTACATTATCGTTGTCTTGGTTATTGCTTGTGCTTCCATTCACACGAGGTACTTCCTCAATGATTCCCAATTCTATTTGATCTTTGATGCTCTTATTGTATTCTTGAAGTAGTTCTGGTTGTTTCTTTAGTTTGCTGTACAACGAACGCAGTCGGTTGTAACATAAATCATAGTCGTTGTCTAGCATAGGACGCTCTTCTTTCCAAGGAAGTCCCACTTTGTAACGCTCACCTGTAAATTGGATGTTTTGCAGAAATTTGTCATCTTGGTGGGAATCTTGTTTGTTATCAGTGATCCCAATGGATTCAGTGTCCCAGAATCGTTTTAGTGAATCAACAATTTCATCGTTTCGATTTGGAATGGCAGAATTCTGGCATGGATCACCAGCTAAAATGAGGTTGGAATGGTTGTTGGATGAAGATTGAGTTGTGCGACCCGACAATAACCAACCTAGCTTACTGCTAATGGCTGTGGGCCCACCTTCACCTCGAACAATGTCTCCCGTTATAAAATCCCAGTAGTGGTCAGCCCCAATAAGGATATCAATAGTATCATCCTTACTCTCTTCGTTGTAGTCTGCTAGTTCCAGTCCCCTTAAGTGTGCATAACTTGTGTTAACCCTTGTTCGTACAGGAGAACAAATAGTGGGGAAATTAATGGCAGGTTCTACTTTCTAAAGTAACCTTATATACTTCTCAAATTCATTAATAATTCATGAGTAATTCAGCCAATGATAATCACCTATTTGATCACAAGATGGCATTTGGATACTTGATGAAAGTCACTAGTGTTTTCATCAAATATCTTAATTACGCATGCAAAATTACTTGAATAGAATTCCTAATTACGTTATGCTTGGTTAAGAATTCTATTCAAATCAGCAAACGAAAACATTCTGTTACGTCTCGATTCATTTGAGAAGCCATATAAACAACTCGAGCTCGTGTCTCACCGGGATATCCAAACACTCGAAAACAATGTACGAAAACACTCGCGCTTCGCGCTCGTGTTCTCATACATTGTTTTCTCGTGTTTGAATATCCCGGTGAAACACTCGCTCTCGTTGTTCATATATTACATCACAATCCTTTCGCTTAAATTTGTTGTCGCCAAACGTATTCAAATTAAGTGTTTCCCTCGATGTGGGCTTTAAATTCAACTGTCTCTGAACTGAATTAGTGATGTAGGTCCACTGACTTCCAGTGTCAAATAGTACTCGCACTGGTACTGATTTCTCACCATTTGTCGCAACAGCCCGAGCTGTTTGTAATAAAACAGTTCCCTGAGATACTCGTGTGGCAGTCACTGTCAAATTCGAATTTACTTCCGGTTGATTATCTTCATGTTTAGTCGCTTCGTTATTTTTTTGCTTATCGATTCGAGCGCAGATAGACTGATGATGTCTACCTGAGCAATGACGGCATCTTCTCTGGTTGGTACAATCTCGGGCATGGTGACCTTTATACAAACAATTAAAACAGCGACCAGATTCTCCTAAAATTTTCTTACGTGCTTCAGAACTAATAACCTTGTCACATGAAGCCAAATAATGACTCCCTTCACAATAAACACATTGTATTTTGAAACTACCACCGTCCTTTGTTTTGGCTACTAAACTACTAGCAGTAGGGGGGTTATATCCCTTTGCTGAACCTTGCGATTTCGGAAATTTATGTGAACTGTTCTCAGTTGCCTTGGTTGCCTCGCTAGCTTCACGCGCCTCAATTTCGATTTTGATTGTTTGAAGCAGTTCATCGATTACCCAAACATCCTTAGTTGACTTTCGAGCGATTTGTAATCTAACATCGCTTGGCATTTTTGACATGATTATGGGTATTAATAAACTTCCATATTGCTCTGAAGAGATACCCAAGGAAGCCAAGCCGCGTACATGTACACTGATCTTGTCGTACACAAATCTTAAAGCAGATAACTTATCGCTAGTGCAAGCTTGGATCTTGAGTATTTTCTTTGCGGAAATGAAGAATCAAGATTACATCACTGACACTGAAAGTTGACGATTCAACAGACAATAGTCAATACACTTCCCAACGCATTCCATAGATTTTTTACTAATCCTATAATTTATTGTTAGCAAGTGATTACTGTGGCGGCTATTGTTAACACTCGTATTGATAAAATTTGCAAGCGATTGTTTTAATAATATGTTATGTGAATGTAAACTGCCAGAAGAATACAACAACATGATTTTATGCGATCTCTGCGATGGTTCCACTTTAGATGTGTAGAATATGACACTAGTCTAAGTACCTCAAATGAGTGGTTATGCAGACTGTGCACACCACCAGCTGCTAAGAAGACTAAAATGTGTATGTAATTTTGTCTCCTTGTAATAAATCAATAAATCACAATAAATCTTTTCAACTTGCAATCGTTTTGTTTTTAGATAAAAAAATCAATTTATATGGGGGGGGCGAAATTCCTAAAGGGGGGCGATATTCCTAGGAGATTCGCCCCGGGGGGGCGAATCTCCTGGGGGGGCGAATCTCCTGTGACACCGGACTGGATACAAATCGTTCAACCAAAAGCAATTTCTGCAGGGTTTGATTGATAACCTCCAAAGAAGGATGATCGATTCATCTGAGAAAATATTGTTAAATCAAATTGAATCCCTCTGCCCAGAAAAATGGCCAAGGGGGGAAAAGATTCCATGGCTCAAAGGTGAGCAAGATGTCATATCGCTTTGCGAGAGATTTAACATCAACACGACAGGCATAGTTACATCGTATCGAGAATTTTTCAATGATCCTCGAAACATTCCCTCGCTTGTTGAAGAAAGGTGGACCAACTATGGTGGGCTGCAAGACATTTGTAGACAACAGGTGGTTAAAACCAGACCACCCTGGGACTTGTTGAACCTCAGGACAAAGTTGAACTAGTCGAGTTAGAATCCAAGCTAGATCTTTCTCAAATGATTCGTCCATTGTTAGCTGATCTGGTGAGTACCATTCAGTTGAAACAGTTCCTTGAATCACCGGCTCAGGCTTGTCACTCTCTAGTTCCAGTTCAGCTCGTGTAACTCGGATGGAACATCCAAGTTTAGTTGTCTTTCGGCTCTCGGAGTTATCTGAACTTTCATCTTGGGTTCACCTTCTTCCATTCGGCGTAAAGCAGCAAATTGCGTTGCATGAAACGTGCCCATACCACCGCTCAGCGTTTCCTCAGTGATATCAATGTTATATCAATGTTATTTATGATAACAGCGTAACAAGTGTAGCTTTCACCAGAGGCCGCAGTAAAGTTCCTAGGAACAAAAACTTTCCGTTTTCATTGTACCTTTCGAGAGCATCATTTGCAATTGTATTATCCATCCTCATAACAGCTTCATAGCTAACAGAGTGTCCAGCTGAGTACAGAAGTTGGACAAGTTCTTTCGATCGCATTGCTTGATGTACAGTTAAGCCTAATCCAATATGCTTTGCTGTTAGCTTACAACCCCTTGAGATGAGGAATACTATGTCCTGACAAATACTTAGTATTTGCGTTTTCATATTAACGTCGTTCTCTTGATCACCAGCACACAGAAGGGAAATTAACATGAACAGACTTTCCGGAACTACACTTTCAGCGCTCTGTTCGTCTATGCTGCCAATACAATCAATACCAGGTGCCGATTTCACATTGTGGTGAACCTTTACAGCTACTCTATACAGCCAGCTCAATAATTCTGCATCAAGGTCTACAGCTTCGACATCATCGTTGTTTAGCTCCTCTTCATATTCAGCATTATCAACATTTCCCTCCACATTTGACTCTTTTAATAAAGATCATCTAGAATGGTTCTGACGGATTCAATGGTTGAACAAACGTAATTTTATCTTGAAGAAACAGCTGAATCTTCTCTTTCAACTTGTTCCCTTGGTAAACGCCAGGATCTAGGTGATAATGAGACTCAAGCCGATGGGAAAATGATGTCCAAACTGCTTTAAGCGAGTAGATACGGCCGCGACATAATCCCTTTTCAAGCGAGGACATGATTTCTTCAAAGCAGGTAACTCTGGGATCCCTGTTCACTTCTTTGAAATCTGCTGCATTCTTATCCGTGTTTCTTTGAAACTTGGTGTAACATTTCAGGCGATATTTACCTTCTGCTCCTATCAGATCGTTCACGCCAGCAAGCTTGCAGCTCAGAGTATTTTCGCTGATGTTTCCATGGTTTGTACTTGACTTAAACCTTTGGAATCCATTTGGCAGAACATACATTTAGACCAGTCCATGCAATCAATTGAAGATCTCCTGGAGGCTCCTACGTGTACATCAACTGTAATTTCTTCTGATGTGTCAGACAATCGGTTTTGGAAACGCTGAATATGACTTGCATTCGTAAAATCACTGTAACAACACCTGTGCCAAAGCACATTATTGTCCCCGGTCTCTGTGTTTTTCAGGCCCTTCAGCCTTCTTATGGCTGGCATATGTACCTCATCCTTACAGCTTTCTCTGGTTTCTGCACAATGCACAGCCCTCAAAATCCCGGTTTCGGTGGCTTTAGAAAGAGGAAACTTTTTTTTCGTAAACTTGTTTCCTTGACAAATGATGCATTTCCCATAATTAACCTCAATCTCGATCGTGTCATTGCTTACAATGCCACTAGTTACAAGTGCTGTTTCTTTACATCACATCATCAAATTTATAAGGCTATTTACCTTTGGGCAAAATATAAAACTGATTGTGATTTAACTTAATAATGAAACATGTATAAAGGTAGTTTAAATTATTTTCAAGCACATGCATCTGACAGATTGTGAAAACTGCACATGTTATTCACATTAATTCATGGTTTAATATTATTTTCAATTTATCTATAATTGGAAAATAATTTGTAGTAACTTCTTGAGCTAAATTCATCTATTTCGTTAGCCTTTCAAGTCAATGCAGAGTTGCAAACATACATTTTGCATGTTGGATGACCTCTTTTCAATTTCATAGAGAATAGTATTATTATTGAAAATATATTAAAAAACATTTTGAATAATAAAGAAATTACAAGAATTATTTACAAATGCTATATAACATAACATTCATTACCTGGTATATTATAAAGAGTTTCACAATTCGAAAAACGACGTTTAAAACTTTTGAAAGCAGCAAATTCACGAAAAACAGAAAAATTCTTCCAAACATTACCATCTAGCGCATATTTATATTGTTAGTGGCCTGGAAACTAATCAACAAGCACAGACCCCAAATCGAACTTCTTGCAATATTTATATATAAAATACTAAATATCGTGATCTATTGAATTCCCGTTACAATCATTAATTTATAATAATTTCTAGTCCATATGTTAAATTAACAAAACATGTGACCAGTCACGTGACATTTCCTTTATTTCTTAATAAGTGCAAGTGCCCAAGTAGACCTAATAAGTGCATTGATAATATAAAATATTCGGGAGTCTTACAGCTGTTTTACATGATTTTACGTTTCACGAATATTTATAGTTCAGCCTCGTTTTCATGTTGACGGAGTGAGGGCCTGCGAAAAACGGCCTCTAGCGGCCAAACTAGCAAGAGTTGAAAGTGGCAACAGCGATATTCTTGATCAGGGCGACCAGATGAAAATTTTAAGCTATGTTGCCAGCTCAAAAAGTTTAGCAAAACTCTTAAATAATCGCATTTTTGTAGACTGCCTCCTGACTACAAATATATTTATACCCTTCTGCAGTTGTTGGTAATGGTCCTTATAAAAAAGATAAGTATTTTAGTTCTGTATAGTTTCATGTACCGGGTGTCCCAAAAAAAAGTACTCCTGTTTGATTCGTAATAACTTCTAAACAAGTAAAGTTTTTAAAGAGAAATAACTTGCATTAAATGGAGGAAAGACTAACTTAGATTTTGATATATTACAGTTGTATTTTACGTAAAAATTCACGGAGATATTAATGTTCAAAATCGGGAGCATATTTTGGGATGTGTCTAAAATTAGCGAAAATCGGCATATCAAATATTAACTCCAGCGTTTGTTTGCTTAATGACATATCAGGCTAACTTGTATTTCAGCGAATTATCGTTAGGGTTTGTAAGGGATATGGCGTAGATTTAGACATCTTGCATGTAAGTCTTAGCTCATTGTTTCCTGAAATATGAACGTTCGAAATTATGCAAGTATTTAATATTATAGATCTTTATACAAATTTAAAAGTACATGAAAGACTAACCATGGAAGGCAGGCGTTTAAATTTTTCTTAAATAGCCTAATTTTTTTATGTTTTTAATGGGTTCAAACAGACTGAGTTGATTATTTCTCGGTTAGAGCAGGATGAATATTATTCTTTATTGAAGGAAATAATATTGCTTTTTGCAAATACACATCACCGTATCAACGCTACTTTTTGTTACGTTTTGTTCCAAAAATGTTGCAAGTCTCTGGGGAGTTGCTTAATTGTTATGTCTTATGGAGTTATATGGTTTGATTGTGTTTCATATAATTCTCAGTTTGCTCTGAACTTGCCAAGATTAAGAAAAGGCAAAAGAGTTTGGATGTTCTTTAACAAGATTTCAGAACGTTGCAGAAATTAGAAGAGCTTCACAATTCCATTGTGACAGCATGCCCTAATTCAGAACTACGAACGATATCCATGACGATCATTCGCGATGCAGTGGTCTCATGAAACAAGGAAACGTATTCGTGCTAGGAACACACACGGATTTCGGATGAATAAATCTTGCTTGTATTTTGTAGATAATAATACTTTGTTCCATAATAAACAATTTGTCAAGTGTAATTTATTTACTGGTAATAGTGTATGTTTCAATCGGGCAAATCTTGATTAATATTTGATATGCCGTTTTTTGCATATTTTAGATACATCCAGAAATATGCTCCCAATTTTAAACATTAATATCTCTGTGAATTTTTAAGTGAAATACAACTGTAATATATCAAAATCTAAGTTAGTCCTTTCTCTATTTGATGCAAGTTATTTCTCTTTAAAAGCTTTACTTGTTTAGAAGTTATTACGAATCAAACCGGAGTACTTTTTTTTTGGGACACCCGGTATATAAAAAGGAACAGTTTAAGTTGCATGCAATTATTTGACCTCTCCCCAGGGGAAGGGGATGTTCAATGGAATGAAGGGATGTGTTTGACCCCTAATCCTTTTACATACATTATGACAGTGTATGATTTTCATTTTACTGTATTTGATCAGTCATTACTGCTACTAACCAATCAAATCCATTCCAACCAACTCAGTGCCTTGTTCACTTTGATAGGGATAAGTTCTAACTCTTTAACATGCAATGCACTCTACTTTAGTGTTTACATTGTCTAACATTGGTCAGACAATTTTACTAATTTACTTGTCAAGGGAAGAGTCTTGAACGTTAATGGATCTGTCAATGCATCCTGTTAAGCACCTCCGTGCTCCTCCTAGTTTGGTGAAGCACCGATATGGAAATTTACCGATATTGAAGGACCAATATTTTGGTGATGCACCAATATGGAAATTCACCGATATTCCAATAGCCGACATTGAAAGACAGATATTTTGCCGATACCTATATTCTATGTCATTTCACAAAATTCAAAGATGACATTGATGACAGTTGTACTTTAATACTTTTGAATTTAATTCAATTCATGGATATTGGTATGCATCACTAACCTAGTTTAGCATTTCACTGTGTCTAACACCAGATGATTTTACTTGCAAGGGGAAGGGTCTTGTGTGTTAACTTAAATAGTCAACACGTGTAGTTTTGTTTGATTTGTTAATATTGCTTTATTATTCTCTAGAACCTTTTAAAACAAAACAAAAAAAATCTAAACAATAATATGAAGTTCAAATAAATGTTCTTATAAAGAAAAGTACTAAGTTGAGATTAATGTTTCTTAAGGATTAAATGTTACCGTATGTAATCTTTAAGTTTTACTGGCGATTTACGAATTCTTGTCGAACGACGTAGAGGTGCTGGCTGTATTTCCACTGCTGGAGATGGTAGCGCCGTTACTTGTTCCTCGGTTGTTTCCGTAGGTAATGCTTTTGATGATGGTAAGGTTTCGTCTGGGAGGGATACTATTTCTAATTCAATTCTTCATGGTTCATTTTGTTGAAAGCCTGCGGTGTGACATCAGCTTTTCAGAGTTGTTTATGGTTTCATTGAATTAGTCCAACAGCCGTATTCACGACACACGACCGATGGCCACGATTTTTTACGACTTCTCCATATATCCATGGCTTGTGTTTATTTTTCGGATTTGGTTTCACGAAGACTTGGTCATTTTGCGAAACCGATTTCAAAGGTTTGGGTGATGCTCTTTTATCATACTGTTGTTTGGACCGGACTCTACGCGACATTATATCATTCACAACTTCAGTGCTGGAAACAGGATGTGGTTTAAGTTGTTGAGGTACTGACACAGTGATATCTCGTAGTTTCCGATTCATAAGCCTCTGAGCAGGTGAAAACTTGTGGCCCTGTTGTGGAGTGTTCCTGTATGCCAGCAATGCCAAGTAGGGATCTTCATGCCGCGCTTTCTTTAGAATATTTTTCGCCACCTTTACTGCAGATTCTGCCTTTCCGTTGCCTTTGCTATGATAAGGCGACGACTTAACTGGTTTGAATCCATATTCACTGGCAAATTGGCTGTACTCATGACTACTGAACTGTGGACCATTGTCACTGACGCATGCATGAGGAATTTCTGCTCTGGCAAAGTTCTTTTTCATAGCATTGATGACTGCCGTTGCTTAAGTATTCTTTAGCCAATCAATTTCTATGAAATCACTGTAATGATCAACAGTTACCAAGTACGTTTTACCATCCAATTGAAATAGATCAACACTTATTCGTTCCCATGGAAGTGTGGTAATCTCCTGAGATTTCATCGGTTCGGTTGGTCATTCTGATTTATACTGTGCATACAGACCACATGACGAGCAGGTTTGGCGTATTGCCGCTGACATACCTGGCCAGAATAGTGTTTCTCGGGCTCTCCTTATACTGCTGTCTGCACCTTGATGAGCTTTGTGAATCTTGTTTAACATCTCTTGTCTCATTGATGGCAGGATGATTACTTGATGAGACTTCAATAGTACACCATTGTCAATAGAAATCTCATCTCTGAAAGACCAATATGGCCGAAGGTCTGCAGGTAGCAATGCTCTATCTAACGGCCATCCTATTAGTACTGTTTCATAAAGTGATTTCAATGTTGCGTCGCTTGATACTTCTTCTTTTAGTCGCTCCAAGGTGACATTAGACAAGTTAGGTGGTTTAAGGTCCATCGATGATAATTCCATGCGAAACACTTCTTCTTCACTTGTCCCCATTGCTGTGGGATTGGTTAAAGCTGCTGGAGACAAAGTATCTGCTATAGATAGATAGATAGAAAACTTTATTTAACCACGCTAACCCTGTCAACCAAAGCTGATTTCCACAGGGGGTGTGTATAGAAGAAATTACAGAAGTATAAAATTTAGAATAATTATTTACAAAATATTAGAAATAATATTAAATAGGTAAAGTATAGTACCGGTACTTAGTAAGTTAGTCTGCGGGAACATCTATTTACAATTACTATTAATGTGAGTAGCGATTTTATTCCTAAAAGAGGCAAAGGATTTGCTTTCTCTAATTTCCTTCGGAATAGAATTCCAAAGGTAGGCTCCGTCATACATGAAACTCTTTTTCATGCTATTTGTACGCGGTTTAGGTAAGCAAAGACTACTCAAAATATCCCGAAGATTGTAGTTTGTCATCTCACCTTTATATGTGAAAAGATTAGTGAGTGACTCCGGACCCATTTTATTTAATATTTTGTACATTAATTTTGCTTTAGCTTTTTGTCTTTCCGTTTTGAGTGGCACCCAGCTCAATGCTTGTAAAGCAACAGAATGTTCTGTGTCATTGCTCATATTCATGATAATTCGAGCAGCTCTATTTTGGAGTTTTTGGAGTCGCTTTGATTGTGTTTCCCCAAACACATCCCATACTTCACAACAATAATCGAAGTATGGCCGAACAATTGCATTATATACAGAAATAAGAGTTTGTCTATCAGTAAACTCTTTTAAACGCCGAAGAGCCGATATTCCTGCTGTTATTTTCTTACAAATATTGTCAGTATTACTTTTCCAAGACAAATGCTGGTCAACTGTCACTCCAAGAGTTTTACATTTGTAAACTTGTTTAATTGGTTTGTTTTCAATTTCAATATTAGGTTGTGAATTTGAAACACTTTTGATCATTGGCTTCGAACCAATTAACATAAATTCGGTCTTAGCTACATTTAGGCTAAGTTTATTGGCAATTAACCATTTTCTAAGGTTTTCCAAATCAGAGTTCACTGCAGTCTCAAGGTGAGGTATAGAATCTCCTGTAGCGGTTAGATTTGTGTCATCAGCAAACAACCGAGGTTTTGTATTATTTAGACATTGAGGCAAATCATTAATATATATTAGAAAGAATAGTGGCCCAAGAATAGAGCCTTGTGGTACACCACATTTGATCGATTTTTCTGATGAAATGGATCCTTTTATTTGGCATTTCTGTTTTCGATTTGTGAGGTAAGATCTAAGAAAGGTCAAAGCTTTTCCTTTTATTCCATGAAGTTCCAACTTTCTTAACAGAATTTGATGATCAACAGTATCAAATGCTTTTTTCAGGTCAATTAAGACTACAAAGTTAAACATTTTTCTGTCTAAGTTCATAAACCAGTCATTAGTACAGTCGAGTAATGCTGTAGCTGTAGAGTGAAATTTTCGAAAACCAAACTGAGAATTATGCACCTATCAATGTAAATCCTGTGGGGGGGGGGAGGCCGGGACTAGGGAGGGGAATTGACAAAAATATGAGAAAACTAATCAAATGCCCGCAGGGGGGGATGAAAATTCCGGTCAAATAAAGGTAACTTTCCCCACCCACGGGAGAAGAGCCACATATTTTAAGCTTTTTAAAAACACCAATTTACTAATAAACATCAAGCAAAACAAAGAAAAATGATTTTTAATAATATGAATTGACATGAACATATTAACGGTCCGTTCACACTGGAGGCGATGCTACAATGCTACGCTATTTTCTAATTTTCATAAACAAATATCTTTGATCCTGGTTTAAGTTTTTCAAATATTCATAAGCGCTGTAACAATTTGAGTTTGTTGGGCCCGTTTGCACTCGTCACGAGATCGTCGTTTGTCGTTTGGAGACAAAAACCTGACTGCAAAGATTCACTGCTTGACAGTTTAGTTTAGTTCATCGCTTTAACACCATATAGAATCTTGAGGTATATTGCCTTGATCGACTGATAAATAAGATGCATGTCGTGACATGCGAATCCGACATAGTGTAAACGAGGTCTTAAAGTTTCCTTTGATAGACGTTGCTACAGTATTTACTTTTTATAGAATCTTAACAATCGTGTCGCGTTGCCCCATCGCGTTGCCGCATTGCGTCCGGTGTGAACGGAACTTAAGTCATAATTAACAGTTCAAAATGCAGGTTTAATATAAATCTTATCGTATGAGTTCTCATAACATTTAAAACACTGTTAATGGTTTGGAATTTCAAGTTCAGTCTCAATACCAACACACACAAAGTGACATGTTTAATAAAAATCTTATTCTGAGTTCATCTAATCTATTCCCACTTCTCAGAACATTTAAAACACTGCCAATGATTTGGAATTTCAAGTTCAGTCTCAATACCAACACACACAATGTGGCTCCACTGTGAACAACCCTCGCAACAAACCCAAGGAACTATTTCTTCACCCCCCTCAGCCGGGTCTTCTAACTTACAAACATCGCACACCTCGGAGTCATCTCCATTCGGTAAATCTATCAGTTTCTTTGATGCTTCCTTTCTTGCTCTACGTGTTTCGGCTGCTTTCTCTGCACCTTTCTTTCTATTTTCTGCAATTGTGTTCAAATGACTGAGCCACATAGTTACTTCTTCAGGAGAGAGCAAAGTTTGTTTAGCAAGATCTTGTACACAATTATCATCAAGTATCCCGTGCATGGAAATGGCTTCTTTTCGATGTTTGTCATATTCTGCTAAAATAACTTCTGATGGCAGGCAACATTTCACATCACTTACTTCGGAAGTATACTTCCAAAGTTCATCTAACTTTAGGTAATGGCCGTAGCAAGCACCATTACATTCACTGCATTGTTCACTGCCATAGCAACGTTCAGGATCAGGACAAGGCACAGGTAGGAAAGACAAGGGTGGGCCACCAACATACCATGTGGGTTCTTCACTAGGCTTACCTTTACGACACAAAGAATGTTCACAGTCAGGTTGGTAGCAACAGCTCAGGCAAAAAATATACTTTAATGGAACATCTGTTCTCATATGTCTTTTTCGTAGATTCCAAATCGCTTGAGCACGAGCATATTTCTCAGGATGATCTTTCTTTTGCTTTTCCCTTTCTTCTTTCTTTCCTTTCAAGAAAATTTTAAAAAACTCATTTTCCTCCTGGTATGCTTTACTGTCTGCTCCCTTGTATAGATTAATAACTGTTCCAAAACAGGGAGTTTTATTAACTCTTGATATATATACATCTATAGCAGCATCCAAATTTTTACGCAGCAAATCGTTGTCAATGTTTCCACCACTAATACAGGAGCCATTAAGAGTTGAAGGAATAAAAAGGTTAGCATGACCAAGGGCAAGACTGCCATTTTGCAGCTCTACGCGGTTCCTATAGCTCGCACCACTGTTTCTAGACGTTACTAACGTCATTTGGCAACTGGTTACAAGGTGACGAACCGTTCACCAATATTGAACCTCGCAATGGGACGGACCCTCGTCAAAACTTCCGTCAACTCGAGCACATTCAATTTCTTTTCGTTCTTGGGTTTCACTGTTCCAAGATACTTCGCGTGTTTCTTCGTTCTCTTCTAGCATCTGAAGATCTGCGTAATGTTGTGCTGCGTTTTTTTGCATGAACACCTGGTGCTTTAACCACTCCGGCACAAACCTCCCAAGTTGTAGTAGTGGATGGGAAGTTATACGATGTTGTTTGTAAATTAGAGGGGTATTTATTTACGTAATCATTCCTTGTTGTAGTAGTTTCCATACCTTTAACACAAAGAGTCGGATGTTGTTTGTGTGTGGCCATCGTGTCCAACCGGAATCCTGCTTGATCATCCCTTCCTATGTTAATAATATTCTTTCCGTCTTTGTACTGAATCTCCTCCAGTCCTCGGTAAAAGGCAGCACTCCAATGTGTGTCTGGGTTATAACGTATATTAAAGCGCTTTCTTGCTCGTTTACTTAAGACATTGGCAACCCCTCTATAGCGAACAGCAGACTTGCATCTTTTATTACGTGCTATACATAACTGTATAACAGTGCCATACCATATTTTTCCATTGTATTTCTCTTGCAAATGTTCTTGTATACGTTTAAATGTTGCTTTCTTTTTTACTCTACGGTTTCCGTCAAATTTTAATGCGCCTGTTCTTCGCCATGCGTCTGCTCCAGCCCCACTTTCTTTTACAAAATCCTCTATATCTTTTCCGATATTAGGACATTGAGAAATAAGTGTTCCAACCTTTTTACTTCTTCTTCTACCCAAAAGACGCTTTTCAGCTAATCTTTTCTTGATTGTTCGTGCGGTTTTGCGTCGTATAGCTGCTCTTCGTTTTCTGATTAATATTTTACCTCTCTCATCCAAAGCACTAGTAACACCCAATGCCCAAATTTCGGCTTCGCTGGATTCTGATTCTGACGTAATTTCTGAAGAACTATCGCTGTTGTACCCAAATTCATTTTCCTTTAAATCTTCTAACATCGACTGTCTAACTGGTGTAATTTCTTCGTCGCTATTATCCTTCCGGTTGTTGGGTAGACATGTTGAATCAGTTATTGCAGAACTACTCTCACAATCAGTCTCACTTTCAGTATCCGAGCCATTTTCACTGGATTCACTTATTCCCAGAGGAAGTAATATTGATTTTTCCTTAGTGTTAGCAATGTCTTCGATTGCTTGTCTGATTGCACATGCCTCTTCCATTGCTTTCTCTACATCGTTTATTTTAGAAGTCATGTCGTCAAATCCATAAACAGCTTTTGCTTTCGTGCTTGATATTCCACTCGACTTTACAACAGCGTACTTTAGTCTCTTTCTTTCACTTTCAGATTCCGCCAAATTCAATAGCTTTTTCATGTCTTCTTTCGTAAGTCCTTTGTTAGTTTGCTTTTTAATACATGCTTCTTTTAGTAGAGATTGCAAAAGATACAAAGTGGCCGGGCTCTGTTTTTCCACTAGATATAAACAAGAAGTTCCTTCGAGCAAACTACCTGTCCCAATCACAGCACAAGGCATTCTTAACATTTTTCTACGAGCATGGGCTGGTGTGTATTTAACATTCGGACTGCACAGTTCTGCAGCATCTTTAAGCTTTATAAATCCTTCCTCATTCACTATATTTGCTACATTTAAAAGTCCTTCGCAGTTGTGTAAACATTTACAACCACGACGCTTGTACAAGTTTGAACAAACGAGAGTCATTGCTTTTACATACTCATGTAATGTGAGACCCTCAAACTTTGAAACATAAACATTGTCTTTCAACGAAATATAATGTGATAAGTTGTTTTTGTTCTGTTTAATGTAAATAGACATAAGTTGTTTTTCTCCTCTCCCACTAGGAGAGGACGCATCTAAAAAGACAATTCTGGTTCAGAACTGTCAGACACAATCAACGTATCATCACTTTGAGGAGAATGATCAATGCTGATAACTCTGTCTACTGGTTTATCTGCTTTTTCTTGCCTTGCAGCATCATCTGTTGTAGCAGTCGATGTGGAAGTGCTTGCAACATTTCCGTTGCCTTTAAAAAATTTTGCGATCTTATTTTGGCTTCCTTCTGGCTCCGATAGAGAACTTCCATCTTTAAATTCATGTGCTGTACTTTTCGAGTGAGCTCTTTTACGGTACCATTCAGACTTGGACGACTTCTTGTCAAAAGCTAACAATTGTTTGTCGCAATCCGTTTTCTCTCTAAGTAGATTCCTAACTTCATCCATTAGTTGGTCAGCTACTTTAAAATCATTGATAGCTTTTGCCTTGGTTATGCGCATTTGTTTAACACGCAACTGATCTTCAAGACTTTTAAGCAGTAGTTTCAGGTCTTCTATAGCTTTCTCTCTTTCTTCTTTATTTATTTTTGCTCTTTTTTTCACTCCTTCATCACTACTACTACCTTCATTGCTAGACCCTTTTGATCTGGAATAGCCTTTCTTGAATTTATAGCCGCCTTCTCGAACCATTTCTTTTGCTTTTAGAAACAACTCACCTACAAACAAAGTTTTATGTATGATGAGTTCATGTGATATAAATAATTAGATATGGGGAACATTGGATTCTATGTCGCGAAACCCAGATGATTTTATCTGGGTATTTGTGCACCAAATGTGGGTTTTGCAGTAAAAGCATGAACTTTGGCACATATACTGCATGAACACACATATATTTCACAGTATTGCCAATGGATCCACATGTGGATAATTTCCGCACACCCGGTTAAAGTGGATTATATGTTATGAAAAAATGCAAAATGAAAAGTTAATATTTAATAAGAAAGATTTTGATGCAGTTTAGTATAGGTAATCACACGGGAAGGAGTGCAATTAATGATTAACACTACAAGTGATATTTGAAAAATGTGCCAAAATCGCACGAGCCGCTGAGGCGAGTGCAATTTGGCACATTTTTCAAATATCACGAGTAGTGTTAATCATTAATTGCACGACTTGCCCGTGTGATTATTTATTATATGCATGACAAAATCGCTTTCTTTATATTTCAACTGCATTTTGTCAAGAGTTTTTAATTCTTTTGTAAGCAATTTGGTATAAACAAACTTGGGAAATGATTATAAACTCATAAAGGCACATAATTTAAACTAGAACACAAGATTCAAACTCAAACAACATATTTTAGACTAAGAAAATCTTTATAAATTGTATTTCAAACTTACATAGTCACGTTTCGCTGCATCCCGCCAAGATTCTTTCTTAAGACTGTTTCCAGGTATTTCCCACAGGCTCTTTTTGCCATACAATGTTTCTTAAACTCACTCTTGTGCCAAAATTCAGTTAAATTCGTCCACATTTGTTAGAAATACTTATCTAAATTTCGCCGCCATATTGGATTTTGTTGTTTTGATTTCCCGCTCCCCCCAGCCATCACGAAAATCATTAATTGCACTCCTGGAGAGTGCAATTAATGAAAATATTATACCTCAAATTCAAATTGTCCAATCAGGAAGCTTAGTTTGTGCCACATGAGCATGAAATTAATCGTGATATCACGCCTTACGTCATCAATTAGCGAGCCTGCGTTCCTTTTGACAATGTTCCACCCCATGTTCCCCGGGGAACATGGGGTGGAACATTATTCGCGTAGACCACGCGGGACAACACGCATGACAACAAGATGGCCGACAAAACATAAATAGTATGAGTGATGAATAATTCAATTTTAAACCTAAAACCTGGGGCTTTTTCAAACCTAAAACCCGGGGCTTTGTCATTAATATTCCAAACGATATGTGATTCGAAAGAAAAGCGACGATACTTGCGTTAATCCGAAAATAAAACATCGTATTCACGAAGGTATGTGTCAAGTTTTTAATTCTCAACTTGGAGGCTTTTAATTTTCGGTATAATATATCATTTATAGACCCTCCGCTCGGGGGATTCGGCGAAATATTACCCTCAGTGATGATATTTCCCTTGGGGCAAAGCCCCTCGGGAAATATCATCACTTCGGGTAATATTTCGCCGAATCCCCCTTGCTCCAGGTCTATAAATGATAATAATTGCACTCCTCTTGACCAATCAGATTGCAGTAATTTTGTCATGTATATAATAATAACCAAAATTGCTCACAATTTGTTCATTTATATACAGGTTCATGCTGGTTGCCTCTATTTTGGTTGGAAATTTATTGGAACCTCAAAATTAGTTAACATGCCTGGCTGTGAAACCCAATCTGCACCATGCATTGTCAGATTTTAAACTCCTGCAAAATTCTCAGCAACCAGTTCAAAACAAAATATGATTAATCTTTTCAACATTGAGCTTGTTACTTGGGTGTGATCTAAAGCCTGCAAAGTCATAAATTCGCTTTTGTTTTGTGTTTTGTCACAAATGCTCTCATAATGCTTTGAGGCATCAATAGTCGCCCAAGTAAACCCAGCGTCCTGTTATTTTAACAATCAGACATATTCAATATTCTGCTACATATAAATAGAAAGAAAAATCTTATCTAGTAGACATGCTTGATTAGTATCATTACACAACTTAAGCTGAGATTATGTGAAGATAGAAAGGATTTGATTAGACCCTGTATTGGGGACTTTCAATATTATATATACTTTATGATGTTGTCTTTGAAATTAGCATATTTTCAGGCAGGGCAACCCAGGAGGGGGGGGGAGGCAAAGCGGGCAATTCGCCCTGGACCCTTAGCTAAAAGGGCCCCCAAATAACAATACAATATGTGTAAAAATAGTTCTGTCAACTCATATCCCAGGGGGGCTCAAATACTATTTTGCCTGGGCCCCCAAATATCTCTGGGCAGGCTTGTTTTCAGGCAAAATTGGTAATATTTTGAAGAGCATTTCTGACATGCCTTGGCATTTGCTTTGACAATTGGACAATGATGTTTTCCTTGGTAGATGAAACCACAAATCTCCTCATGGATATACAGCATGCAGTGTGCACTCCTGCTACATGGTACAAGTACTGTGTGTATCATAACATACCTCTCTGAAAAACAAGAGCAGAATTTTCCTGGACAAGTTTTACAGCTGCATTGTTTACAGCCTCCTCATAATCATTTCTGGGAGATGTGTAAATTTTAGCTTTCTCTATCAAACCTGGGTTCTTTTCAGGTGTTGCAATGGTTTCCTATAAAATAAAATAAAACAAAGCAACTTCACCAATTGTATAAGCTATACTGTAACTATACTAATAATCACTTAATAGATTTAAGTTTTTAAATTTTGTTTTATCAACATATTTCTGGCCAAGTGAAATTTTCAATTGGCATTAATTAATAATATCCAATACTGTAAAATAATAAAACACAATTTTAAATGCATAGTATGATGACAAATATTGACTCACTGATTCAAGTGGCATCCGTAACCCAAGATTGCCTTCACTAATAGTCAATCTTTTTTGCCTGTTGTTTGCAAATTGTATAGATGACAAAGGTGTTGCAAAAGTGCCATCAGACTCCAAAGTATCATCTGTCCTTTTCTCAATTAAATAAAAGCATGTATTTGGAGAAAGTTCAGAAAATACATCTTCATCATCAATAATGGACTGATCATCTACTAGCATGGCTTGTAAATCATCAGAGTTTTTTATGCCAAGTTTAGTGCTTCCTATACAAAAAACAAGTAAAGATGTCAATATCCCATACCTTTCATTGGTTCTATTAAAAGCCATGCTATATTAAATACACTGTGGTTATAGGTACAACACCAATCGTCTTGTTCTATATGGCTATACGATACTTGTCTATAGATCAGACAACCTTTAAATCTAACAAGAAACCTAAATTTAACCCTGAAAAATACCCTAACTCTAAATCTTACCCTAACCAAAAGGGTAAAAATTAATTGCAAGTTGCAAGAAAAACTGCATTGTGTATTAAACATGACCTTAACAGTTCTTTTAACAAGTACCTTTATCTTTTAAATCTGCCAAAGAGTTGGCACAGATGCAAAACTTTTGTGGGTTTCTTTCACTTTGAACTTTGAACAAGGGCATGTCTCCAATATCTATATATTACTATTAAAAAAAACAAAAAATATTTTCAATGTTTACAGTAATGAAATATTAAAATTGCACACGGTAATAACAATGTTTTAAACTATTAAAAAAACCCAAAAGTTTTAACACATGTATATATAAATTATTCATATTCAAACACATGGAAATATGGAGGAATTTCATCCATAATTTATATATAAATATATATGAACATTAAAATATCTATATACACTGAATACACACGGAAAATAATCAGCAAATAAAACAGATATCAAATTTAAACTTACCTTTTATACAATTACGTAAAAAACACTGTAAAAAGTGACTAAAACCTTTCCAAATACAAAGCACTTTCGTCGACTACGTCAGAGCCTCAGAAGACCACGCTGGATTTATTAGTTTTACGCATCACTGCTCATGCGCATAAATAACCTGCGAGCAGGCTGGGCGAAATTCAAACCGCCCCATCCTGGGGACAGGCAGGTTAGAAAATGTCCCAGGGAGGGGATGAATTTTATGATCAAACCCCCTATATTGTCCCGGCCTCCCCCCCCCCCAACGGGGCTTAACATTGATAGGTGCATTAGTTGATCGACAGAGAGTATATTTTTGATTTTCGTCCTTTTGAAAATACAGTATTATTCTAACTGCGCGTATAAATCAATAAAGACCGAAAGCCATTAATAAAAAAAGACATGAATGGAGCTTGACGGCCACAAGAACAAAGCATGTAAGTCATTGAAATGATTTATCAATTCTTGTTGTATTGTGAATTTGTGTTGCAACCATTGGTTGCAACTGAACTGACTATCAAGATTATTCTTTAAAACACGAGTATTATAACAATCCCCAGCAAGTAAAATTAAGCAAATATAGCTTGTTGAAAACCGTACTGCTATAAATTTCCCTGAGTGACAAAGGTTTTTTTAGAGATTTTAATACCAGGTTATTCTATTAGTAAATTGTGGGGAAAAGCAACTCTTTGGAATATAAAGCACTTATATCACCATTAAAGTTTTTTACACCTGTATGTATTCCGCTTTCAGGTATGAATTTATCCAGAAAATATGGGATATCTGTACTAAGTACCAGATGGCAATGAAGAAAGTCAAGTGTATTTCTTTATAATGGTCTTCCTTGTAAAAGGCAATGGCACTATTTCATTGAACATTCAAGGAACAATCACCTTTTAAAACAAATATGCACATTTTTATGCTCGAGTTACAATGTTTGATTTTGATATCTGCATTTTATGCAATTCATACCTTATTTTTAAGTGTTCCTCAAATATTGATTCAATACTTTACCTCGGGCTGACCAATTCATTCCATCAAGATATTTGCTGTGTTGGTGTAATACATGTACTCAGGTGAATAAGAT